AAAAATTGCGTGAGTTAAAGTGGCACAATATTAAAAGAAGGGAGCTTGATTTGAAGGAAAAATTAATGCGGATACAAGAAAGAAGCCAGCAAAAATGAACTAATAGATAAATTTATTTTTAAGATTTTTTTTTTAATTTATTTTAATTTTTCCACTGAATTACTGATTTTTTATTTTTTTATTTAAAGATTATTGGATTTAAGACTATTAGATTTAAGAAAATAACTGAACTAAAGAAGTGAACTAACGTTTGTGATATCTGTATATATGTGTAAGCTATTAGATTTAAGATAAGAAATGAACTAACGCTTGTGATATATGTATAAACTATTAGATTTAAGAAAAGAACTGAACTAAAGAGATGAACTAACGCTTCTGATATCTGTATATATGTACAAACTATTAGATTTAAGAAAACAACTGTTTTTTTTTTTGTTTATTTAGTTTTAGATAAGGAACTGAATTTATTTCTAATTTTTTAAATATTTTTTATAATAAATAAATATGAAGTACAAAGTTACGGGATTGTTTTCATTAGTTAGGTAATGATCACAAAATTTGCATTCTTATGTGTGACGCTTCTCTGAAAAATTCTGATGGCGCTTCCGCTTCATTTACATCTTCATATTCATCATCTATAATGTCAGGTGTATTATCTTCAACGTTGTAGTGGATGCACATGTTATGCAATGTGCATACCACATTTATTATTACCACTTTTTGGGGCGAATAATGTAGTTGGCGAGCACTTAGCAGGCATCGAAATCTATTTTTCAAAACGCCGATGACTCTCCCGACTATGTTGCTCGCTTTACTGTGCGTTTTGTTGAAGATTCTTTCTCGTCTTCCTGCCACAGTAGAAAGGAATGGTGTAATTAACCACGGCTGTAATGGATATCCAGCATCGCCTGTTAAACAAAATATTTTTAGTTATATTTAACACATTTTGCTCTCATTTCACTTATAACATACCTAATGTCCAAGGTGTTTTGTTTCCTTGCCGATATATCTTTTCAAAATAGGTTTTTGCAACGCTTACATTCCACACATGTTAGTCATGGCTACTGCCCGGAAACCGAGCACCAACACACCTTATTTGCATCTTGTTATCGCAAATCTATTTAATAAATTTACGATAAATTGCACGTACAAAATCACTTTGCTCTTGTGGTTTTACTTACCACCATTGCATTTAGGCTGTAGTATCCCTTACGATTGTAGTACAAATACGGTTCGTCTGCAGGAGGAAGTATTTTAATGTGCGTGCCGTCCATACACATAATAACGCCAGGAAATTGCGTTCTCCTGCAAAACTACATTTTGGATCGTTTATGCTCCTCCTCCGTCATTGAAAATTGAATCCAGACTGGGCACAATCGGCGCTCCAAAATGTTAAAGTTTTTGACAATGTTTTTGAGAACGTGGATTGAGCCAACCCCACATCAAAATCTTTCCCAACACCATGTTGGTAGCTTCCTTCAGCGAAAAACCTCAAAAGTGCCATCAATCTACTTATAGGAGTCACCGATGTTGATTTTACGCTTCGCCCAAGCTCTTCCTCAATAAACGCTAAAACGCTTTTAAATGCGTCTCTGCTGAGGCGGAAATTTTTTACAAATCTTTAAAAATTTAAACGATTAATTTATGTGTGCATCAGAGAAATCAATTATAAAACTTACATTACATCATTTAAGCTAAATGGATCAGAACTGTGTCGTAGCAATCTCCTTTGTATATTAATGCAACAGTTGGCTGCAGCATGTTCTTCCTACTGAGAGAAAAGTGCACCGGCCACTGAATCCATTATATTTTACTTAATTAAGATATCGATTAATTAAAATATCAATGTTTTTATACGATACATCGATGTGCATCGATGCAATCCCTGCAAAAAATCGGAAGCTATCGATTTTACGCTCAAGTCAAAGAAAATTTTACTTCATTGTTAGCTGTGGTGCAAAATATAGAAGAAGTCGGTGAATTTTAAGAAACAATTATTATAAATATCAGTGTATTTAATTTGTATATAAAAAAAGAGCAAAAACCCTTTTTTCCTCTATGTGGATAGAGAAGAAAAAATTTGAGGCCAGTGCGTTTAGGCCGACTGTAGAGGCAGTGACTACAGTGCTGAAATACAATGCAACGCCAACGTCCAACTCTAGCAGAACCTAGGAATGGAGGCAGAAGGACCAAACGGCGATAAGGAATTTGTTTTTTAGCGAGGAAAATTCAGACCCCCATGAAAAATTAGAAGAATTGCCTGAGCTCAATAGCTCTGAAAGGGCGTGCGAAATTAGGTTAATACTCGAAAATATATTTTTAAAAATAAAAAAACAAAAACAAAATGAAATTGTATAATTTAATTTGGTTTCGTGTATTTTTAGATATTTCGCTGCCATCTTTTCACTTATTTATCAATGACATGTACGAGCGAGTGAACATACTTAAAGGCAAATGCGCCCATGTGTGTGCAAGAAAGGGATACACTATCACACGCCCGGAGAAGTGGTCACTTTTTTCCCCCAAGCCCATACAAAACTAACCGCTAAACTGACGAAAAGTTTTAGGGCCGGTTGTTCAATGTCTGGTTATCACTACCACTACACTATCGACGATTTCGACATCATGCATGTAACATGTTATCGATAAAGCAGTAGTTGTGCTTAACCGGAGCTTCTACCTCCGATTTGTGCTAATCAAACATTGAACAACCGGGCGTTAGTCAGTTTTCCCACTAATTTAACCGATAATCATAGGACAGGCTTCCTGCAGGGATATTTCGATGCATCAAATCTACAAAAACACGATGTGTTTTTCTGACTTGCATCCCTAATGCAGAGACGGATAGGTACGACACTGTCGTTTGCTAAGCGTTATGCACGCACTGTTCGTCTACATTTTGTGGGGAAAACTTGGTAAAAAAGTTAATATTTCCATTAAAATTACATAAAAATTAGTATTTCTGCGGAAGTTATCAAAAAGTGGATAATTGCAATAAAATTCGATAAACAGGAGAGTTCTAACTATCAAATATGATGAAATTCCAAAAAGTCTCTACAACTATGATTGGACGACCAATGTGTGGAAAGCTGAATACAAAACTTATTTACGTTTCCGAAATCAAATTTGGGGTTATATCCCTAAACGCGGCCAAATTCCGCCTACGCAGAAAGACGTTCCGCACTTCTTTTTCGCAAACACAGAAACGAGAACTCCGCATAGTAAGGTTAATTATCCCTAAGCGCGGCCGAAGGCCGCCTACGCAGAAAGAGGTTCTACAACTCTTCTCCGGCAACAAAGAAAGAAGAACTCTGCGTAGTAAGGGTTATCATCCCTAAGCGCGACCGACTAGTGAAGACACTGATTGGAATGAGTGGAACGTGAGTTTTCAAGTAGTTTTCAGCGAAATCTGGTTTTCGTTTGACTGGTTTTACATGGACGAACACACAAGTTTACGGTCGAAAACCACTTTTAGCAACGAAAACATGCTTTCGATGTCGGTTAGAACATGGTATAAGGTCGCCTACGAAGAATGAAATTCTCCACCACTCCCCCATTCTTCTCGAGAATTCGAGAGGAGGCGCGTCGCGATATACTCCCTTATCATTATAGCCTCGCCATCAAGAGTAGCTTCGTTTATTATTCCTTCAACAACAGGTTCATTATCCTCGTCTATAGGGCCAGCCTCAACTAACTCCTGCACTGTATAATGTTTACAGATATTATGTAAGGCACAGCAAACATTTGTAGTTTGCACCACCTTTTCAGGTTGATATTGTAGA